CCCGGTGGCTGGTTGACATTAATGCCATGTGTCACAACCCTCACTGGTTCCCTGTGTGCAAAATCAAAATTCTCCTTCTTAGGAGAGAGGATGGTGTTTTGCTAGAATTCTTCCTCGTGTTTTTATCTTGCATGTTTCCGTGTGTATGAAACTAAAATACCAGAGCACTGTAAGAACAAAAGCCCTGAATCTCATGAAAGTCCATAAGAAAACAACTTTTAATGCCCAAGTGCCATTTTCATAGTTTTATGGGTGTTATTTAGCACTGAGTTATGAGAGTCCCATTGTGATTTTAGCATAACAATAACTACTTTTTTCAGCAAGTACAGATTGAGAAGCCAGACGGAACAGCAGTGAGGAAGCAGGGCAGACTTTCTCGTCAATAGCAACATGGCCCAAGAGCTTATAAATAACCCAGTTAGTCTGTCTGGGCGCACCGTTATTTATCCCCAGCTCCTGTGCTTTTATGACTGTGGATCATGACTGTTGATTTTCATTTATTCCAATGGAGGGCTGTTTGGGGGAGGGCTGAGTATGCAAGATCGCATTCAGTTGCTGTACTTGTACCCAAACTAGGAAGCCATTCGCACTCTGCAGTGTTCTGAGATCACAGCTTCTTTGGGGTCGAGGCCAGAGCTCTGGCCCTTCACTTCACCCTGACGCTCGCCAAGCCTTTACTGCATCCACCCCGGCCCTTTTCACCTAGCGCCTCATTTGATTGTGTGAGCAGAATTTTGCCTTTTATAAAGGAACTGATACAGAGAACAGCTGCAAGGTCATGGGCAGAGTAAGTGGGAAAAACGGGAAGTGAACATTGTAGCTGGAACTGCAGTGGCCGTTTGTGGCATGAGGCAGCCTTGAGGAAGCCAGAGCAGAAAGACAAGCGGAGTCTGGGAAATTGATGATGTTATAACATCACCAGACTGGCCTGGAGCTATCTACTTGCAAACTTTGAAGTGAGCTCTGAGTAGTTCTGTTGCTCAGAAGACCTGCTCCTCCCCTTGACACCACACGTCCTTGTCTGCCGCTGGTGTTTACACCCTCCAAGGCGTTCAGAGAAAAGGCTCAGGTGTGACCCTGAGGTCGCCCCACACTTTCTTGCAGGCGTCCTCAAACTACGGCCTGTGGGCCACATGCAGCCTGTCTAAGAAGGATGTTTATCCCCCCTGCCGGGTGTTTTTGCCACTGCTGCCTGTCCTGTTTAGCAGCCAACTCATCCCAGGGCCTGCAGTCCGGCCCTCCAGTGGTCTGAGGGACAGTGAACAGGCCCCCTGTTTAAAAAGTTTGAGGATCTCTACTCTTGAGGAACCCTGGGGCTACCACAGTTGGCTTGAGATAGGTAAACCAACTCTCTCAGCCTCCCAGGTCCTCCACAGCCTCTTCTCCATGGCAGTCCTCTGAGATTTATCCAGGAGGTAGGTGCTCCCTTCTCCCAGTGGTGTTTCAGGAGCTCAGGATTGCAGCTTCAAAACAGCAAGGCCCACGGCAGCCTGACAAAGCTCTGTGCCCTGACTCCCCGGCAGCATTCCTGTGGCTGCTCTCAAAGGTGGCTCAGCCCTTCCACATTTCCCAAACTAGTATCGAAGAAACTAGTCCCCAAAACCATACCATGGGGCATGTAAAGGAAAAGATCTCAGGGTAAAATTGATGTGGGAAGCACTGGGTTGAATGGTTTAAAAGCTTTATCTAAGTACCAGACTTCTGGTTAAGGCAGTTCTGGAGGAGAGGTGGCAGAATGTCTAAAATGTATCACTATGAGGACAGGGCAAGGGACAAAATCAAGAATAGCCAAGAGAAATCTTTCAGAAGAGGGCTGGTGAGGACTCAGCAGATGGAGTGGTCTCTAAGTGGGGAAGAGGAAGGGCAACAGAATGGGCTTGGAACAGCGAGGAAACAGAGCTTGTGATGGTGGAACCAAAACAATTTCTAGACACAAAGGTCAAGTTCAGCTATTACAAAGGTCAAGTCCAGCTATTCCAGAATAGAAATGGTGACCATTTGGAGTTGAGGATGTACAGAAAGCTGTCCAAGATGGTGTCCTATGCAAATTTCTACATAGATAATGGACATTTCCTAGGGAGCTCATAAGAATATATCCTTGTCAGGCCAGGCACAGTGGCTCACGCCTGTAATCACAGTAATCTGGGAGGCCGACACAGGTGGATTTCTTGAGCTCCCAAGTTCAAGACTAGCCTGAGCAAAAGCAAGACACCTTTTTTTCTCTACTAAAAATAGAAAATCGGAGGCAAGAGGATAGCTTGAGCCCAAGTAGGAGGTTGCTGTGAGCTATGATGCCACAGCACTCTACCCAGGGCCACACCTTGAAACTCTGTTCAAAAAAAAAAAAAAAATGCTAGCTGGAAACAGAGTTTTTAAAACTCTACTTGACATGACCTTCCATCTCCAGAGAAATGCATTTTCTTATCTGTTTTAGAAATCTGTTTAAAAGAGGAATTGAGATTGCAAATAACAGAGACTGGGAAAACACTGTGTTTGACAAGAGAGAGAGAGAGAGATAGTTTCTCCCACATCAAAGTTTGCAAGTAGATAGCCCCAGGCCAGTCTGGTGATGTCATAACATCATCAATTTCCCAGACTCCACTTGTCTTTCTGCTCTGGCTTCCTCAAGGCTGCCTCATGCCACAAAAGGCCACTGCAGTTCCAGCTACAGTGTCCGGTGCCAGGCAGAAAGAAGCAGGGGATGAATGAATGAAGAAGAACCTGCCACCTACATAAATGTCCCTTGAAGAGCTTCCCTGAAAGCCCAGGTGACTTCTGCCTGTGTCTCTTCAGCCTGTCCTACCTGTAAAGGAGACTGAGAAATAACTCCAAATATCTTCACTTGTCACGTTGCAACCCTTGACAGTATAGTTGTTTAAGGAAGAAGTTGGGGTTTTTTTGCAGTTTGGCCAGGGCTGAGTTTGAACCCTCCAGCATGTAGGGCTGGCGCCCTACTCCGTTGAGCCACAGGCACCACCTGAAGAAGAAGATATTTTAAAAGTTATTTTTAAAAGTAAATTCTTAGTGCAAGGTAGGCTCATTTGTTTATTCCCCTTGTGGTCATTTACACCTGACCATCCGCTTACCGAGAAACCAGGGTCACATCTCTTGTCTGCGCTGTTACATCCCAGCAGGCCCTCAATAATTCAGTATTTGCTGAATGCTTCCCAGAGATAATTTTAACTTGAGAACAGTGTCATTGTATATGATGAACCAAGGTTGTACTTAAAATTGCTACTGATACATGAAATCAATGTTTAGCCATTTACTTTCATGGAAACTCTAGCCTCCCCATGGAGAGTTTTCTGTGAGTTTTCATAACAGCTTGTATGCATGCATCCAACTAAATGTTAGTTTTGAATTTCCTAGGTGAAGTATTTTGAAATGATCTTCAGGAATCTAGTTAAACTGTCCAAACCCAGCGTTGGAAATACAAGACTCTCAGTCCCATGTAGAGCCAAGTGACTTGTTCATTCCTGTCTCGAAAGTGGTTTTTTTTTCCTTTCTTTAGAAATGAGAAATGCCTTTGAATTTGTGTCTAGAACATAGCTGATACCCAACAAGTACTTCCTGAATAATTCATGCTTAGACATAAATCTCAGGCCATGGGAAGTAATGAACTTCCTATTAACTTTAAGTGAACATGTTCGCAAATGATTATGAGATTAAAAAAAAGAAATTGAGCATTTTCTTCCTTTATTCAATCAATTTTATTTTCAAATTGTGCCTTAAAATGGCACTTGGTAATTTTGGGGGGGTGTGGGAGGGGCCAGAGCTGTGTTTGAACCCACCACCTCTGGCATATGGGGCTGGCGCCTGACTCCTTTGAGACACAGGCACCACGTGGTGATTGGTAATTTTTAGTGTATTAACAAAGTTGTGCAACTATCACTACTAATTTCAGAACATTTTCTTCCCGCCGAAAAGAAACTGTGTACCCGTCAGTGGCCCATCCTCCTTCCCTTTTCCCCATCCCTGGCAACTGTTAATCCACTGTCAAACTCTGTGGGGTTCTTTATTCTGGAAATTTTATGTAAATGGAATCATACAACATGTGGTGCTTAAGACTGGCTTCTTTCACTTAGTGTAATGTTTTCAAGGTTTATCCGTGTTGTAGGACCTCCCAGGAGTTTATTCCTTTGTGTGACTGAATAATCCATTATATGGACAGGCCACGTTTGCTTGCCCGTTCATCCACTGAGGGGCATCGGGCAGTTCCAACATTTTGGCAACAATGAACATGCTGCTATAAACATTTGTGTTCAGTCCACAAAACTGTTACCTCAATTCAATTGAACAGAAAAGAAGTTACCCGTAACATTGCTCTAAATTAATAGACTGTAATTTCTTACTTGTCTTATTGAAACAATCCAAAGTGCCTTTCTGAATTGCAGTTAATATGGTTTCTTCAAGGTTTGTCAACTTTTTTTCTGTTTATGAATTTTTGTATAATTTTTTTATTTTTACATATACATGTGATTATTAGGTTTCCACTTTTTGCCTTCACAGAATTAAAAAGGCTTAAGATTTAGCAGTAATAACAATGTTTAAGGTAAGGACTAGAAACAAAAACCTCATAAAGAATGAATGAAGATAAATATAAATACATTCAGAAAAGAAAGCAGATGATTGCTGCAATGAAGTGTTAAGCAATAATAATAATAGTAATGCAAAGAAAGTAACGTTCACATTGTCAAATAAGACTATGTTGATTATAGAATGCTTTGACTCTGAGGTTCAGTATATGCCTTCTTTTGAATAAATATGTAACTGTCATACAGAAAAGTACACAAATCCTGAGTGATTTAATTCTCAACTCTCAACAAGCCAAGCACAAAACCCAAATCAAGAGATAGAATATGATCCCCAGCTCAGAAGCTTCCTCGGGTTCCTGCT